AGGGAAGGGAAGGGAAGGGAAGGGAAAGGAGGAGGGAAGGAAGATAGCAATAGCATTTAGACTTATATACCGCTTCATAGTGCTTAACAGCCGTCTCTAAGCAGTCTAGGGCCAGCAAAAGAAAAGGAAGGAAGGAAGGAAGGAAGGGATGGATGGAAGGAAGGAAGGAAGGAAGGGAAGGGAGGAAGGAAGATAGCGATAGCACTTAGACTTATGTGCCGCTTCAAAGTGCTTTTACACCCCTCTCTAAGTGGTTTACAGAGTCAGCCTATTATCCCACAACAATCTGGGTCCTCATTTTATGGAACTCAGAAGGATGGAAGGCTGAGTCAACCATGAGCCATTCAGGATCGAACTGCTGGCAATCGGCAGAATTTGCCTGCAATACTTGCCTTCTAGCCACTGTGCCACCCTGGGTCTTTTCAAACCTTCTGAAACTGACCTCCTGTGTCGGGTCACCCCAGCCTGCTGCTTTCTTTGTCCTCCTGCCTCTGCTAACCCTGATTTCTGCTCTCCTTCTCTTGTGCCTTCGGAAAGGAAAAGCTGACCTCGCTGCCGAGAGCCTCATCCCTGGCCTGGAGGCTCCTGTGCCCCAGCTCACGTCCTCCCAGGCAGATTCAGTGGCTTCTAGCAGAGCAGGTTGGTCCCTGGAGGAATGGAGGCAGCCCACCTACCCTTCCCATCGTTGGGGTTTTTCCTGGGAATCTCAATGGGCTCCTTTCTTGGCAGCTTTTCGCTTTAGCCTAGTCCATCCTGAATTCTCCTGGTAGAACTGGAACTCAGACCCTTCCCAGCATGCTAGAGCTCCAAGGGGTGCAAAATATTCCGCTGCTACTATCCTTGGCTCTTACATCCCAGCAGATGCATCTCTTAGAATCCGTCCCGAGTTAAGAGGAATTCCAGCCGCCCGAAATTAGAATAAGTACCGCTGGATTAATGGGACGTGGTGGCTCAGTGGCTAAGATGCTGAGCTTGTCAATCAGAAAGGTCGGCAGTTCGGCAATTTGAATCCCCAGCAGTGTTTAATGGAGTGAGCTCCCATTACTTGTCCCAGCTTCTGCCAACCTAGCAGTTCGAAAGCACATAAAAAATGCAAGTAGGAAAATAAGAACCACCTTTGGTGGGAAGGGAACAGGGTTCTGTGCACCTTCGGCATTGAGTCATGCCGGCTACATGACCACTGAGATGTCTTCAGACATGTCTTCTCTCTCTCCCTCCCTCCAGATGTTTGGGGTCTCTTTGACTCAGGGATTGGAGGAAACATTAGTTAGGTTTCTTCCAAAGTCAGCATGAGGGGGCTCTTAGCTTCGGTTCAATAAGTTGAATAAGCTGGTTGAGGAACTCTGGGACTTGAAGTCCACAAGTCTTAAAGTTACCAAGGTTGGAGATCCCTGACCTAGAACACTAGTGAGGTATTTTAGTCCTAGTTCAGGTCATTTAAAATAAAAATAAAGGATAGCTCTCTAGGGTGGACCCTGGGTTGGAAACTAGACCCCAGCCAAGGGAGCAGCCCCCTCCTTGCTATTCTCTGTGCTGTGATCTTCTACTCTGCTTCTTCTCCTGTTTCCAGATTCAATCACTGTGGATGACTCCTTGCTTGATTGCTCTCTGCTTTCTAACCCTGGCACTGATCTCCTGGATGAGTTCGCTCCTTTAGCTGTTTCATCCCAAACTCACAAAGGTAAAACTCCTTTTTAGGGTTTCATTTGTATGAAGAGACGAGACAGTTTGTTGCATCAACTCAAATCCAGAAAACACACACAGATAACTGATGCAGCTGGATTCATTAACTTCTTTATATACGTAATCATAGATGATTAAATGTACAATACCAACAGGTGGTTCTTCCAAGTAAACACAAGGCAGGAAAGTTACAGGCAAACACAAGCACTCAGCTTCATTTCCGCAGACAAGTCCAGTTAGGCTGCTAGTTTGCTTCTCGGAGCAGCGGACTGCTTTAGTTTCTGTTTCAATTTTCTGCACAGACTCAGATCTGTTTAAGCACCCATTGACTGACTTAGTTGCTATGCCTATTCACTGGCTGACCTTGTTCCCATGTCTCTCCCAGTCATGAATATTTTAACAAAACGAAATAAAACCAAAGGAAGGTCTGAATTGGGGTGGGTTCCTGCCGCTTCTAACCGGTTTGGTAGAAGTTCCACAAATCTACCGTGTTGTTTAGAACTGGTTGGAACACTTGGCTCGCTCCCCCCGCTCGACGCGATCTCCTTTCATTCTCCATCTGCCTCATTCACTCGCTCGGGCAGCAGAGAATGAAAAGAGATCGCGTAGCTGAGGGCAAAGGAGCCTGCAGCATCCTTCATTCAAATGTTCAGGTAGTGGGGGGGGGGCTTTCTCGCACGTCTTCTTTCTTTCTCCAAAGTCATGCGAGAAAGCCCCCCCCCCACTACCTGAACATTTGAATGAAGGATGCTGCAGGCTCCTTTGCCCTCAGCTACGCGATCTCTTTTCATTCTCTGCTGCCCGAGCGAGTGAATGAGGCAGATCGAGAATGAAAGGAGATCGCGTCGAGCGGGGGGAGCGAGCCAAGTGTTCCAACCAGTTCTAAACAACACGGTAGATTTGTGGAACTTCTACCAAACCG